CATATAATGTAGGCTTGTGTCTACTTGACCAACACAAATTTGAAAAAAAAAAATCGAAATCTCGATTATAGTTGAAAGCGTGAGTCAATTGAAGCTAGACCACCATGGAAAGCCTGGAAACACTGGACGGCCGTTTCGTCCTATTAATGGACTCCTCAGCAGTGCGCATTCACGATCCCGCTCACGCGAGATTCGAACCCAGGACCTACCAGTCTCGAGCCGAAGCCGTTAACCGATAGTACACTGAGATGGCGTCCAACGGTGGGCGAAACGGCCATCCAGTGTTTCCAGGCTTTCCATGGTGGTCTAGCTTCAATTGACTCACGCTTTCAACTGTAATAAATACTAAATCTCCAAAACACCCCTTCTTTAATTAATAAAATCTCGATTGTTTTTTTAATCACTATGACAAATAGATGACTTTATTATTGAATATTAAGTAGACCAATAGTGGATAAACATTTCTTGCCACCATGTCCTAACGTTTACGTGTTCCTTAAGTTGTATATATATATATATATATTTTTTTTTGTAAAATTGTACTTTTATTTTTGTTTCATTTAAAGGAGCTTTATTGAACACTGACAGCAATAACAAAATGTTCATCTGAATTTCAATCTGTAAAAGTTAAATCTCTTTCTCTAATTATTTTCATATATAAATCTAGAAAAAAGAAACTTAAATAAAATCAGAATAAACGACAAACAATACTGGTAGTTTAAGTATTCTAGAAACTCTATAATTAAACTGAGCGAAACAGAATATACACATTACAACTAGAATAGAATTTTAGGAATGGTAATGGTTTGGATCATCGCAACTATTTTAATGTTGACATAGCTCCCAAGAAATAATTTAATCTATTTTTATTGACCTAATTATAACCCCTAATAGAAAAAAGAATTGTGACCATCATTTATTATATCTTATGGCCTTGTGCCCTTGCCAATATATGATGTAATGATACTGTCAATTAGAGAGCAGTGACTTATCGATCGGACGAATGACACATAAAACCGCTTGAGCAGTCTAGAGTCTTTATCGGAACTTCTCCCTGCCTATCCCTCCCTATTAAGTTTAGAACACCAATCTCAGCCTTTGCGATATGAATCATATATTTCAATCATACCGGGTTTATATACAAACCAAACAAACCATATCGTACCATAAAATAAAAAATCACATTTGTACAAGATTTGGCCAAATGTGGCTGTGAACAGAGGGAACAGTAATTAATGGATTCGAGATAACTCAAGAATGGTAAATCGCATGATAATAGTCTATGGGTCAAAATAAAGCTTATAATAAGAGGGACATGAATACACATAGTTTAGCTACTTAACAATTATACAATAGGAAATATACATATCATATTGGTCCATAAATAGTTCTCAAAATTTACCATTCATAATCCTAGTTGGGATACAATACAGCAATGACATCGTTTATCCTACTAATACATAAATTTTTTGCTTTACTAAACCTGCAAGATACCAGCATACTCAAATTGAAACCAAATATCATTAATAGATTCAAATACGTTTATATATTAATCGTCTATGTCAATTTTTCGGTAATAAAGGACCAGGAGTCTATTGAGTGAACTGAAGTCAATAGAAGTCACGAGAACAGCAACAGAAATGTAAGTAAGAGAGAGATAAAGTATAGCGAAAAATGAGTTCTCTTTATTTAGATGAGTGATGTCATGTAACATTACATTTTGTTTTTTCATCACGATAACACTGAAAATCCACACAATATGGAAAAATCTGAAAAGTATCTCATTTTTGGAAATTGAAAGAAATGATAAAAAAACACTAAAAATCCTGTATACGTAAATTCCACATGTACATATACACACAATGACATGCGTATACATTCAAACAAAGGACAGTTGAAAACACGAGGGAGAGGGAGAAGAAGGGGAAGAAGAGAGAAATAAAAGAGGAAATAGGTTATAGAGAACGAAATCTGGGATCTGATTCAATAAAGTTAAAGTTTATTCTTTCTTTTCAAATGTCAAATAATCATAATCAGTATTCAACAGTTAAAAATTACGTAGATATAATTCAAATTAATAATTGAAATATCTGGTAGGGTTGTACAATCATAGAAAATCATTTTACTAAAAATTTGGATTCTTTTTTTAACTTTACATGTGACTAGGATGTTATCATTAAAATGGCATGTAATCAATTTGACCAGAAAAAAAAAGTTAAACTGGTATTTAAACTAACGGTCAACTTGTCTATTATATAATAAAGAGTCATCAATGTTCAATAAACGAAGTATGCATGACTCTTGTATATTCAAAACAAACCGGCCACTGCACAGTGTGCAAGTTATATTTTGTTTTCATTAAGGTTAGGAATTTAAATTCACTTGATTTTTAGGCTTTCGGTGCTTTATATTTTTACCATAATATTTTTTTATAACAACTAAAGATTTTTTAAGCAAAGATGGATAGTGGCTAGCAGTGGAATTCAGGATGCCCGTTTCGTCCTACTTGAGACTCTTCAGTTGGATGTGCTGCATCTCAGAGTTGATGTTCACTCTGGGACTTCAACCCATTACCTTTCACTTCAAACGCCATAGCGTTATCCACTCAGCTAATGAGTTTTGATAGCACAGTATGCACATGTGCCAGTAAAAGATTGACCAGTTGCAGTCCTAACACATCGATGGGAAGATTCAAACAAACAATACTAAGTAAATTCAAACTTCACCCCATTGCACAAGCAAGTGGCTATCAGGACTCAGTAGCTGAGAGGACAACGCGATAGCGTTTGAGGTGAACGGTACTGGGTTCGACTCCCAGAGTGAACATCAACTCAGATGCAGGTACATCCATCTGACGAGTCCCAAATAGAAAGAAAAGCGCGTCGTGGATTCTACTGTTAGCCACTGTCCATCTTTGCTTATATTACTTCATAGTTCAACCATAATGCAAACGTTCACAAATAACTAATACATGTTTTCATAAAAATAATGATATATATATATATGTGATATTCTGGTGAACATAAATTGGAATTCTTGATATTTGGCAATTTATCGTAAGCTTCATCTTCAGAGGAAATAAAATACCTGAAATATGTCCACATTTTTATTTGATAAGATGATTGTAATCCATTTCTGAAAATGACTGAATGTAGTTTATTTTATCATATAGCATTCGCTGTACGTTTTTATCCACCACAAACTTGATTCCAACTAATCAATAAATGCAGGAAGCTGCTTTAGTTCAGTTGACAAGTATAGAAAAAGTAGAAAAAAATCTCGACATCTGATATCCTTTTTAAATTTATAGTGGATGGATTATATGACAAAATAGAGGACAGTAGGTAAAATCTCTAAAAAACAAATCAAAGTTTTCATTGATACACCTTTTAAGTCTACAATTCTCCTTAGAAGTTTATATAAATCTTTAGCTAAATACTATACAAAGACAGTTTTCAAAGATATAATGATTTTCTTAATACACATCTATTTTGCTAACACCTATAGTATAAGATGACACTGCATTACCGTTCTGCTTACATAATGATGAAATACATATATGTCAAATGATTATCCTACAGAAATAAGAATATTGTTGATGGTATTTTATATTAAATAAGTCCACTAGAATATCTTGTACATTTGTTTGTACAAATAACAAAACTTTATAATGCAATTAATCCAAAGTATAATATTTCTGTCCTACTTAAAAAAGTCCACGAAGTTGTGTATCTGGTTTCTTGAGTTTGATTGTTGATATGTTCATATCCTACCTCTAGTTTCATATCCATCGGTAGAGCTACCTCTTTCGAAATGGTTGTTAAACTACGAGTTATATTAGAACTGATCTGAATACATACAATTTTAACATGACGAAAGAGAAGTTAAGACTTGGTTTAAATTCTTAAAGCACTGTACTATAAATGTTTATTCAGTCGATACTTGGTGTCTTTTGAATGAAATGAAAGATCAGTAATTAGATTTTATTATCAAATGGCTTAGTCATTGTTAAATATATTAAGATTTAACGGCTTAATAGGTAATACCAAGTATATATGTTTACAGAAACGAAATTATAAAAAGGGATAATTATAATAAAGAATGTTTATGTGGACAACTGTTTACTATGACTTAACTATCAGACATTTTATTCAGATGGTTTATTTTACTATATTGCTTGGAACTCAATAATTTACAGTCGGTTTCCCGGCGACTTTTCCGAAATGATGTATTTAAGTTTACAGTCGATATATTCTAGATGTATTTTAACCCTAAATGATGCAAAAGTTTACGATTTTTAACATATAACATTGTTCAGTTTAATTATTCATATATAATTTGTTTTGAGCATTACAACAAAACAATCGCGGATTCATAATTGAACAACCTGATGAAATTACTGAAAAACAACAACTGTTCACTTAAATATTCCTTTTTTTCTGAATATTCTGTAGAGGTAATTTCCTAGAACAAGACTGAATACTAATAAAATTTCCATGCATTCGTATAGATCACCAAAATCTCAATGGTACTTTGCAAAATATAGAGTTAAAACAAGATATTTCATGCAAGTATTACGTCGGTTCACTTTCTTGTTTATAAGGAAGTTTTAGATACCGTTTGATTTTCTTTGTAATTCGTCAAATCAGATTTATGCTTGTAACCACATTTAATATCGAAAACATGATGATTTTCAATTGGTTTGCTTTCTTGACTGTAAGTAACGTCAATTTTGTGTTAAATGTTTCATCTTCCTTTTTTCACTATCCTATTAATAAAAAGTTGATACGTTCCTTTCTAGAAATTCGACTTAATTTAATCTAAACTGAATTTTCACGAGCAGGTTTCCTGACATTTTAAACAAAAAATTTCTATTATTTCTTCTAGAGAAATTGTAGTAGTGATCATGTCCTTTTGGAAAATTGTAAACGGAACGTATATAAGAAACTTCATTGCAAACATATCCTTTATATATGTTTAACACTTTTTTTAATATTCAGCACTCATTTAGCTGGTAACTCACGTCATTTGAAACAAAAGCATATTCGAAGTTACAAAGATATGGCAGACAGAAATCTCCCACGCAAACTCAAAAATCTAACAAGTAAACGAAGGGACCAATCGAAGAAATTTAGCCAACGGTGGCAGAGAAGGAGGAATGAATTAATTAAACGTCGAAGATATAACCAACTTAAGGCTGAAACACAAGCATTTATTCAGTTAAATAAATCATATCAACAGAAAGCTGACATATTAATGTTTACTCCTGAACAAAGAAAAAGGAAAGAGTTTTCTCAAGGTAAAAGAAGGTCTAAAAGAGCAGCTACAGCTTATGTTTCAAGAACATGGACAAACGGAGTTATTCCATACATAATACAAGCAAATTTTTCAAGTAAGTGATTCAGTTTTTATAAGTTATTTAAGAAATAAAGGAAGAAAATAAACACATAAGCACTATTATACATACATATATAAAACAAGTCCAAGGTTACAAGTGAGCAACTGACAGGGGAGAATCTATGGGTTGTAAAATCAATTGGAAGAGTAGCATAGTTTGTTCGTTCGAATAAAGCGTATTATAATACTAATTGTTACTGGTTAAGCTCATGTTACTAGCAAATTCTCAGTGACTTTTTATTAAACCGGGATGATTTAGACAAATATTTTTATTTCTGATCATGTCAAACACTTTGAAGATTTAAATCCACCAACTGAGCTCATGAATTTTAGCTAGCCATAGTATTTCAAATATATCAAACCTACGATTTTTTGAATCACAGGCTACTGATTTAAAAGAACTATTTCATTATTTAATCACCTGAAGTGGAAAGAGTGTTTACCATTCAAATGTAGGAAATAATTCATGAAATTTAGTTGTTTAATATTATGCTCTGTCATCAGTAGGTAGTAGTAATGTTTGAGATGATACCTCGATACTTCTACAGATGGCTTCACCCAGTTCATATGTAGTGGAAGTAGTATTACTGAACAGCTACTGAATAGTTCAAATACTTACTGATTTGTCTGTCCTCCGTGAGGAATTCACTATTTGAATATGTAGCAGAGGGTATACTCGACTTTACATTATTACCTGAATAGTTAATTCAATTTGCAGATGCAGAAATATATCCATTGAATTTCGTTATGTTATTTGCACTACTTATAACTATTGAAAGTAGCCAAACATCAATAAAAAAAATGTTTTGGGAAGCTGGAAACAGTTATAACGTTTAATTCAATTCCAGTTTTTGAGGTGGATGACTTCTATCTTTTAACTATCTACATTTGGTTTTGACGAATAAACCGTAGATGCACTAAAAAGATTGATGAAACTTAAATTCTATAAAATCGTTATGGATGCTGTCCTGAAATTCTTTTAATTTACTTGCTTTTTAGGTGAAACTAAAGCTACGATTATGAAAGCTATGCGACATTGGGAAAATTATACCTGTCTTAGCTTTGTTGAAAGGCAACCACATCACAGATCCTACATAATCTTCACTGAAAAGGCATGTGGGTGAGTGTTTAGATAGCGAGAAAGTGATTCAGATTTGAAAGTCAATTTATTTATGCGTTTATAGCTTCAGAAATTGAAGATTTTGATGAACAGTTCGACAAATGCAACCGTTTGTGAATTAATATTTTATCTAAGTTGTTCAAGGCAAATTTTGTACTCTTACAAATTGGTTTCCATAAATTATGCATCCATGATATAATTATGTAGATAATATTGAGGAAGGAATTACTTTATGAACTTTATAATTATTTTGAAGGACACTGTTTTTGGCTGAAGCAATATCGATCTACTGAAGTTTTAATTAGATTATGTATTTACTAGTTCCGCTTCTTCAAAACATTAATGTTTCCTGTTCACATTTGCTGTTCAGTTATGCAAAATTCCAAATGAACATAACCAACTTTAAATATCCACATGGTGTGATTTTTTGGGTATAAGGTTACGATGTAGGTTAATTTATTGGATCAAGTTGATAAGTGATCAAGTTGAACAAATAATCCATACTAATGTTACCACATTGTAAGGTCAGATACTAAGTACACGAATTATGTCTGTATCAAATGAAAACAATTTTGCACCGTTGACTAAAAAAGAGAAATTTCAGAATTTTTAGTAAAGAGTAGTGATCATAGATTGTTTCATTATATTGATAGTAATATCTGCGATTGCATTAGGTTACCTTTGTTATAAATCTTCGGTTTACCGAAGTTTTGGAGTATAGACTATTAGGTAATATTGTGAGGCCTGAAGATATTGGAGTCGTTGATGTTCACCACCAAAGGAGTTCCAAGCATAACAAAAATAACTGTATAGTCCTTTCTTATTTTCAAGTTTATTTAGTTCCTACGAATCACTGAACTAATTTATTTTCATAATGAGTGGTATAGATATGCTGCTTTTTGAAGATGCTAATTAATTTAGTATGTAGAAGAACATATTTGGCTTGGAGGCCGGAAATTTGTTGTAAAAGCTTCTCCTTTCGTAACTTGTCTATGATAACTATTGTTCATGGAAATCATTAGTCTCATTACAAATAGAGTGCAATAAGAGAATAATTTTCTACTTCTTGTTCATAATTACGCAAGCGTTCACCGTTTGTATGATCAGTTTTCTGATCTGTGAACACTAACTTCAATGATTTGGAAGATTTAGTTTATTAGGTTATGACTATGAACATCGAACTAAAGTCTTAGGAAAAGAAAGTTAGCTTTCCTTACTTGATGATATACCATTCTAGATTTGACAAAATAAAAACAAATGTATCATACTACTTACTAATAACCAGTAACATAACATAACAATTTTAGCTTCAAGATAGAAACTAGTTGAATTCACGGGTCAATCTAGGCTAGATCACCACTGAAAACCGGAAGTACTGGATGGCTGTTTCATCCTAGTATGTGACTCCTCAGCAGTGTGCATTCACGATTCTGAATTTCTTTAGGTAGATACTGTTAATTTTATTTCTGCTAAAGTATTCATTATTGTATATAATTTTCGAAAAATAATAGATGTTGTTCATACGTCGGACGACGTAGTGAAGATGAACCACAAGCTATATCAATCGGAAAAAATTGCGACAAGAAAGGGATCGTAATTCATGAACTTGGTCATGTGATTGGATTTTGGCATGAACACACTAGACCTGATCGAGATGGTAAGTCAAGTCTTCAAATACAGTGATCACCAACATAACCTTGAGTGCTTTATTTCCACTATATCTAGTATTTATTAATTTCTACGCATGAAAATATCACAAAGATAAATCATTAGATTTTATCAGTGATTTTGATCCATAATTTAATACTGATTGACTTCGTTTTCACTTAAGGGTCGTATTTCTGTGGTTTCGTACGGGTTCCAGTTTGTTATTTTAGACTATTTGTACATTCTAAACATAAATAAATCCACAATAGATCAGATGTTTAAAAATTCTTAAATGCCAAATTTTTAATTGTGACCTACAATAGAAAATACCATATTGTTTTGGTTAGTATTCACTTACCAATTTGAGGATATCAAAAGCCACCAGTTCTCCAAAGAAGTGGTGTTACTAAGTTTGCAGTATATTCTGTTACATGAAGGGATAACAAAAAACTATTTTACAAGAGTTAACTACTAAATATAGGGTTTGCTTACTTACACTTGTCACCCTTCGTGAGAGCATAGGCCGTCTACCAGGGTTCTCCAACCAATTCTGTTCTGAATTCTCCTTTCCGACTGTTTCAAAGTCGTATTCGTTCTTTCGATGCCTGCCTCCAGTTCCCAGAGTACTGTGTTCTTTAGTCTGCCTTTTTCCCCTTAACCTTGAGGATTCCAAGTTAGGGCTTGGCTCGTGATGCCGTTTGAAGATTTCCACAGTATGTGTCCTATCCACCTTCAGCATTCTTTCCGAATTTCCTCTTCAGCTGAAAGCTGATTTGTCTTCAGACACAGCGTGTTATTGCTGGTAGTATGCGACGGATATGGCGCATCTTGCATAGGCAGTTGTTTATAAATACCTGTACTTTTTGATGATGATTGTAAAAGTTCTCCGAATTTCAGCTCCGTACGATAGATAGAGTGACACTTCGAAATTCGTTCCAAATGACGCCCAATTTGACATAAGTGGCCGCTTTTATAAATGCTTGGATTAAACAACAATAGTCTGATCAATAATGAAGATACTTCTTAAAGACTCTGAATAAAGAATATGTAATATAGGCTATTCACTATTCTTCCTGCTTAAGAAATAGTTTCTTCGATTTTCCATCAAAAAATTATGAAATGGGTTTACCAGTGGTAAATTATGTATGTCATTGTCAAATGCAAGTTTCAAGATGGTAAAACTAGTGTTAAACACAATGCATTTAGGTCGTTGACTGTTTGTATCGTTGGGTTGAAAAACTGTAGTCGTGGTAGACGAAAACGAAAGCTTCTATAGATTCAAGTTGAATGACTATGCTGGAAATCAATGTAAAAAAATATCTCATTAGTCTGTATTTATTTATCTAATTTAGTGTTTCAAATTTTTTTACAATCTTACTGTTTTATTCATGTCCCTGTTTGCTGCAAACTTTATACGACTTCCGACAGCTGAGTTGGAGTTTCGGGCCTAACTTCAACTACTTTTGTCAGGGCAGCTGAGTACTGTCACTAATTCTCATGTATAACAATGTGGCTTGCAACCTAATATTGAAACCCTCTGCATGCTGAACGAGTTGCGGAGTCAGGCTGAAACCGATAAATAATGTTTGAGTCAGGTATCAGTAGATCGAACATAATTTGTTATCTAATACCTTTAGATAATTTACTAGCACAAGAATTTGCATTCTTAAAATTTAAGCTTCAATAATTCTTTAAAATTATAAAAAATACTTCTTCCTACATTTATTTACAGAACATGTAGATATTCTACTCGATAATGTTGTTGAAGGACAAGATTTTAATTTTAAAAAAATGGATCCAGGTGAAGTGAACTCTCTTGGTGAACCATATGACTATAGTTCTATTATGCATTACGCCAAAGGAACATTTGCTAAAGCGAATAAAGATGAAACAATCAGACCAAAAGCTTGTTGTCCACGACCACCTATTGGTCAACGTATTCAATTAAGTCCTGGTGATATTCGACAAACAAATAAACTCTATTTATGTCCAGGTAATTATTTAAATTTATGATAACATGTCGTTATTTCTATTGAAGTGGGTATTCTGTAGAGATCGTCCAGTCTAAAACTAGTTTGCATCATGGACTAACAAAGTGCGAACCAACCACTACAAAGTGAAGATGGGTGGATAACTGCTTTGTCCTACTATGAGACGATTTCTATTTTTATATTAGAAATCACATTATAATTATCTGACTTCCTTTTCCATTACTGTGTGAGGGATCTCAAACTACTTAGTTTTATGTCACGTAAATTTGAAATTGCCCGCTTCCAAGGGATTTAGGAATAAAAGTAAAGAACTATAAATTGCTCTACAATCTGCAATGGTTTATCATCTGTTACCAGATCATGGTGACCATTACCTCTATGTTGTAGGATTTTTTGTCATTTTAGCTGATTCAACTGTTCACTTCATCAGCTGTTATAACTATGGACATGAAGAGTGAAATATATTGAAAGTATATAAAAATGACGACATAACATTTGGCGTGACATTTAAAGGTTATTATGTGCATCATGTATTGTGTCATGAGTTAGAGCTACTAAGTAGTTCCTAAACAACAATGTAATAACTGACCAATGGTTTCCGTTTTTTTAATGATTCTTTGATTAACGCTATTTCGTAATAGAAACTATTTTTAAACTATCCAAATCGTTAGGAAAATTTTCACTACTACATATGCTATGATGGTAATTAAAAAGTGTTCAGTATACAAACTAAATCCAACGATAAAATATTCCTCTCTATTTAAATTAGATTGTCCAAGCATCCGGTATAAATATTTCCCCATATATTTTATGTTTCTTATGGTTATACTTGGTGCTGTGTCCAAGGAGTTTTATATTATTTGCTGTCTATAGACAGCAGGTTTATTATAAATTTGATACCATTCTTCTAGTGTATTCAATAGTTCATTATTACTTTTTTCCTATCCCTAATCCACACATTCATTCTGAAAATGTTCATATTTTTAATTGAATTTCTCACGTAACTCTGCATTTTTACTGCAGAATTCTTATGTCAGGTTAATGCCAATAAGTACATATTATGAATATAAAGACAAATCTTTACTAATAGATTATAATTTCAATAGTTGAGAGCATGAGTCAATTGAAGCTACACCACCATGGAAAACCTGGAAGCACTGGAAGGCCGTTTCGTCCTATTATGGGACTCCTCAGTAGTGCGGATCCACTATCCCGCCTTGCGAGACTCGAACCCAGAACCCTCGGTCTCGCACGCGAACACTTAGCCTCTAAACTACTGAGCTGGCCGGCATCCAACGGTGTTAATGTCTAACTTCAACCAATCCACGAAATTGAGCAACCATCTACAGTGTCTTCAGTGAGTTTCTATCTCACAACAGACCCGGTTGAATTCCACTGGTTACCCCTTCTGATAATAATAGATTATAATTTGAAATAATCGTCGTTTGGGATGTATTTATCTTGAAACACATTCTTCCATGGTTGAAATTCAAGACAACGGATGACAAATGTAATTATTATATGAAAATCTATAATCCTCAAATTCAAAGTCCTTCTAATTACTGCATTCTTGAAAACACTTAATTTGTTATATCTATCTAATGACTTATTTTCTTCACTAGTTGCCAACACACCTTAAGCTTCAATATCAAACATATCATAGTTGAAACACTCAAACACTTGTTTTAAGGTTCAGTTATTCTTCATTCAAGACCATAAACACAGAATTCGTTTTTATCATATTGTGTACAATTTAATTTATTGTATATATTTTAAGGATATTAATGTTATCAGTTTCTTCATAAACCACTTCATTAATGTTCTCGGCATTAAAGTCATGAATATATATTCTATGTATTTGCTTTTCAAATAAGGATGATTGAAAATGACAGTTTATTCAAATATTTATTACATCAAGTTCGTTATAAATAGAACTGATAAGACTTTAAATATTAGTTAAATAACGGTTAATTTACGTTAGACGAATATCTACACTAGATTCCTTCCCAGTGTCTATTCTACAGGACTTCAACACAACTCAGATCAAGGACACATGATTAGCCTGACAAGAACGTAAATATACTTCCACATCAAAATCCGACACAATCCAACAACAATGAACAATCAATCAATAATAATAAACAATAAGGATAGGGGAATATATAACTCATCTGACACCTGTCAGACTATCTACATGTCTGACTAAGCAGACAACCGATCATTATCATTATTGCCCACACATCAATAACTTTCTAACTAAATTAACCAGGTAGGAAAATTTCCAGCTTTTCTCCTACGAGACTTTACTAACGTAAATAAGCCACCGCTAACCTAATTTAAACAACCTCCATTTAACGTATTATGTCTATGTTGATGGGAGCTCTATAACTACGATAATTATTTGATTTTCTTTCAGAGAGAAGAAACTTTCTTGAAACTAACAGTAGGAATAGTTGTTGTAGAAAAGTGAAATTCATCTTATGAAATAATCAACAGTTTATTTAATTGCTTTGGTACTTAAAGACTAAAACCAAGGTAATTTATTACGTACATTACAAACCGAATATTGAAAATAAACATAGAACAAAGTTATCATATTTATTTGGATAGTTTCAAGGGATAAATTTGATTGGAAGACAATTTTAAGTTGATATTAGTTGGAGACTTTACTGAAAGCACGAATCAGTAAAGATTAGTTCTTCTCAGTTTAAAACTGTTTAATAGGGCCACGCGCAGACTTTACACTATGTAATATTCAGAAAATTTAAGCCTTTTATTGTGGATGATAAATTTAGACCAATGATATGAAAGACGTATTTTAATTTGAACTTCGAAAACTCTTTCAAAGCTACTTATTTTTGAGTACACCATTATTGTTAGATTAATTAATTTGTAGAGATAAGTTCAGCTTGAAAATAGTTTTCACCACGATCTATTGAGAAGCCGCGATCAGCAGATCTCAATCACATTATATACGAACCAATTGTCGACGACTATCAATAATTGACTCTACATTGCAAGTTGACTATATCTGGAAATGTAAACTACCGGATTTCATTGCATTAGTCTAAATGTGTTGCGATTGACATAATAACAGGAGATCAAAAGTTCGACTGTATGTGGTGCCGTAGATTTATACTGCTAAAGAGTTTTAAGCGAAGATAATGTTAAGATGGTGTCAGTTCGTAAATAAGTAAATATTAAAACTGTTTTTGCTCTCCATTCATTTTCAGGGTTGCCCTTAGTATTAACATAAATATGTACGAGATTGTAATTTGATTTCATAGTCTAGATTTTGCAGTCAAATAACAAACCAATATCACTCGTTAGAGCAGAATGGCATTTACGTAACAGTTCTGTTTCATAATCTTGTTAAAGTATGTAGATTTTGCTAATAAAACTATAAAATAAATTCAACTTAACTAGTAAAAGGTTTCTGTTGTCTATCGGTACCCAAAATATTTAAGTCAACTTTTATGTATTGTATGAACATTAATGTTATTAGCACGTCAAAATATTCTTTCTCTTTTGTTTGTTACTCATTAAAGAGTCAATTTTATTTCTTTAAGTGTCATTTTGTTCATTTATTTAAATGAAATATTTTTCGCTACATTTTAGCATGTGGTCGTACACTTCTAGAACCAGTAGGAAGTTTGTCTTCACCACAAATGGCATGGAAATTAGAAGATCGTTTTGGTGGTAATGCCAACTCTTCATTATTTCCCGACCCGATAGGTTTAGAGCAATCAATTCAATTGGGAAATGCTATATCAGTTGATCATCTTTTACCAGATGATAACGAGAATATGTATCATCCCTATCGATCATTAACAAATGGTAATTCAATTGATGGTGGTGAAGATCATAGTTTAATTGGTATGGTCAACGATAATAATTATAAGTTAAAAACACTTCCATATAATCCATTTAAAGGATCATTCAATAATGAAGAAGTTCCATTGATAGCAATGAGTCGTTTATCTAAACTATCGAAAACAAGTTCATCATCTACTTTAGGTTTCACATCAGCTAGTCCTATACTTTGTCAATGGAGAATAAATGCTGCATCAGGTGAACGGATACGTTTAAATTTTACACACATGGATATATCTGGACCAATAACACAAGATTCTATACATACACCAAATAATTTAAATGATTTACACAAAGCATACGAATTAAATCAAAAAAGTATCAATCGTATCTCATGTATTAATGATTATGTAGAAATAAGAGATGGATATTATTCTGGTTCACCATTAATTGGTAAGTTAATTTTTTATACGAATATTTACATTCCTCTTATTAACTAATTACTCAGTAGTAATCAATATTATCTAATCTACTTATTAGTGGTGATGAAGTTTCATGAATTGAGTTGCCATTCAATGATTAGATGAAATGGCTCAAAATCACACTGTAAGTATTACAAGGTTGAAGGGACAAATAGAAATTCTCGGATTTACATTTTAAGTTAGTTATTAATGATCAGTATATTCTATTGGTAATCTTGAGAGAATTGAATTTATTGTCAAGATTTGAACCAATCATGTTATTCGGTGACACTATGAGATATGACATTGCTTGAGCTACTTTGACTATGATAATTGTCAATAATTACCTTACTTACTTACGCCTGTTACCCCCATGGAGGACCATAGGCCGCCGATCAGCATTCTCCAACCCACTCTGTCCTGGGCCTTCCTTTCTAATTCTATCCAACTTTTGTTCATTCTTCTCATGTCTGTCTCCATTTCTCGGCGCAATGTATTCTTTGGTCTTCCTCTTTTCTTTTGACCCTCAGGACTCCATGTGAGGGTTTACCTTGTGACGCAGTTGGGTGATTTCCTCAATATATGTCCTATCCACTTCCAGCGCTTCTCCCTGATTTCTTCCTCTGCTGGAATCTAGTTTGTTCTCTCCCACAGTAGAATGTTGCTCATAGTATCAATAACCACCTAATCTATGTCATAAATTCATTTTATAAAACAAATTATTATTTTTTTCATTTTTAATGTAGAACTATCAATTATGTTTTGAACGGAATTTACCATAGAAAGAATTTACTTTATTACACAAGACTAGCAATTTTTGAATCGTTTCACTGTCAGTCAAGTCAAATATAAACATAGATCCATAATAGAATTGCTTGTTACAAGATTCAGACTTTAAACTTTGACTCTAATCAAAGTTTTCGTAATAGATTATATGATGTAATTTCATAATTAAGTGAATTACTAACTCTGATCATCGTATTTAAATCTAGTTTTAAGCATTATTTCAATGAGATATGAGTATGAATCTTTAAATGAAACATACACTTCAACCTAATCATTAATATTTGCTAGTTAACTATAATGTTTATGATTACTTACAACCTTTTAATAAGCTTCAATAACCTGATTACTTACCAAGAAATTACTATATAAGTTAAAATCTTTTCTTCAAATATGAAGTTTTTGATAAAAGTTAGTAAGGTCATTACACTTCATTCATACGTTTATAAGCTCAGATAACGTTCACTTATAATATAAAAGCCATCGGTAATATCATGAGAAATACTTATTTCATTAACATTCAACGTTTATTATTGTATACAATATTCTTCTTTTACAATTTTTTTTGTTCTGGTCTTTATTTAGGTCGTTACTGTGGTCAAAATTTACCTCCACAGTTAATTTCAACTGGATCACGTCTTTGGTTAGAATATAGAAGATCTGCTGGGAGTATGACAACAGGTTTTATCGCTGATTATGAAGGTGATAATCAAATGATTTACTATTGTCTTTTGCATTTAATTAAAATACTCAAAATTATTTTGAACACTATTCTCCAACTCATGCTTCTCATCTTAAGTTTATACGTTTGAATAATGAATGATTCTACCCTTTTGAAATTCTTTTTATTGAGTAGAATTCTTTGATGAAAAATCTGAATTCTAATAGGAAGTTGTGTATTCTGATGTAAAATTAACATTCAAGAATTTCAGAAACATTTATAACACTTGGGAATGAATAAATAAATCATCACAAATCGGTTATAGGTGTAAATCCCAGTCACATAGGTTGGTAATTAGAAATTGTATATGCCTGTTATGAAAGCTTTTTATCTCAGCTGTAACCCTAACAGGGATCATTCATGTAAGTATCACTGTGAGGTTTCAGAAAGAAAACAGTCAATTATTTCAAACTTCATGGCTCCGATAGAAAGAGCACTAAACTTGACATAAAACCATCAGTTCATTCATTTTAGTTCATTATTTCTTAAGAATTCAAACAAAATGTATAGAAAAAATATTGTGAAGTTTACATATTCATGAATATTTCCCCCTTTAGCTATATGTGGTGGAGAATTACAAATGGAAGAAGGGACACTAACAAGTCCAAATTACCCAGAATTTTATCGACCAAGTAAAGAGTGTGTTTGGCAAATTATCGTTCCCGTGGGTTATTCTGTTGCACTGATATTCCATTCATTTCAGGTAAGTTAAAAGTCTATGATTAAGAAATTCTTTGTATGTTTTGAGTTGCAGCACCCAGTTTAGATTTATATAGTGCGCAGTCATTTTTCTTACATTCTAAAACATTTAGCTTTAGGTTAAACGTTTTCAGTTCAGCCATTTTAACAATAGCAAAATAATTGAGTCTATTTTAGTAAAGTTGTAATACAGGGATCCTTAACAGACTTTGTATAAATGATGATCTTTAAACATTGATATGGCAATAAATATCTATAGTTAGGTCTGTAGATATTACTTCATGGATTTCATTCCAAGCATTATCTATAGTGCAACTTGTTAAACTGAATTTGAAAAACACCTACTGTAAAACTACACAACTACAGGGACTTTCGTAGACACATTAAATTGATTATTTGTCGCTAAATAATGTAAAAGAAAAATAGAAAAAAAATAATCAATATGGTCAAATTAACTTGTTTGTCATGAAGTAAAAATGCTCTTGTTGTATTCCATGGAGAATTATGAATGGTAACTTGGAGGACTATTTATGTACCAATATGATATGCATATTTCCTATTGTATAATTGTTAAGTAACTAAACTATTCATATTCGTGTCCCTCTTATTATAAGCTTTATTTTGACTTATAGACTATTATTATACGATTTTATAAAAGATGAGTTCTACAGGAAACTTTCTGACCTTCTCCGAGAAGCTAGGCGTTCTGATGTAGTAATAGTAGCAGGTGACTTTAATGCTCAAGTAGGTAAACTAAGTGAAAGGGAAAGACACCTGGGTGGATCTTATGGTGTCATGGCGAAAAGAACAGATAATGGCGACCGTCTGTTGCAGGTGTGCTCAGATAACCGCCTATTTCTTGCAAATACTAACTTTAAGCATAAGGAAAAACATCTTTTGACATGGCGACCCCCGAATTCGTCCCAACGTTGGACCCAACTAGATCACATCGCTATCAGCCACCTATGGAGGGGCTCGATAGAAGACTGTCGCTCATTCTGTGGCACATGCTTAGATTCAGATCATGCTCTAGTGCGAGCACGTATCTGTCTGCGTCTTACTGGTCGTAGGAAAGACACTGCAGGTAAGCCTCTAAGGGTTCTACTTAATGATAGGCAAGCTAAGAATATATTTCAGGAACAACTAGAAAAACAGTTAGGCAGCCATGTAAGTTGTGTCCACCCCGGGGCATCCGAAAAGCTGTGCAAACAGCAGTGATATCCGCTAATAAGGTAAACCATAACGTTAGGGAGAAACAATGGATCTCGGCAGCATCTACCGCACTGATAGATGCTCGTAAACTCATCCCACCTAGCATAACGAAGAGCGGAGTCAACTTAAGCGCAGGCTTATAAGAAGCCTACGTAGTGATCGTGAACAGTGGTGGGTAGCGAAAGCAAGAGAGATGGAAAAGGCAGCGGCAATAGGTAACAGTAGGCAGCTATTCAGACTCGTTAGAGAAACCAGTATTAGGAACCCGAATATCAGTGAAACCATCTCAGATAAAGATGAGCATATTATTCATTCTCAATCCAGGAGGTTGGATCGATGGGCAGAACACTTTAGGGATCAGTTCAACTGGCCTTCAGCCACACTTCAATTACCCACGATCCCCAGTCGTCCTGAATGGCAAATTGATGTAAGTCCTCCAACCCTCAGTGAGGTTGAAAAAGCTATAGGAAATCTGAAGCGAGGGAGAGCAGCAGGCCCTGACAGGTTGACCCCTGAGATTTTTAAGGATGGTGGTCCAGTACTAGCAGTGAGATTGACTGAGGTCTTAGGTAGAATCTGGGAACTGGACGTAATTCCATCTGACTGGTCCCAATCACTGATTGTGCCAGTCTATAAGAAAGGACAAAATCCTCCTGTGACAATCACAGAGGGATCAGTTTGACTAATATAGTGTCTAAAATATTAGCTTCAATAATACTAGGTCGCCTAAGCAAAGCTCGTGAAGAGCAGACTAGAGAAAACCAGGCTGGTTTTCGACCTGGACGTGGTTGCATAGACCAGATATTCACCCTACGTCAGGTCCTAGAACATAGACACACATTGAGACGTCCCACAATAGTAGCAGTTTTTGACCTTAAGGCGGCATTTGACTCCGTTGATCGTGAGGTTCTATGGCAATGTTTGTCACTGAAAGGAGTACCAAAGAAGTACATTAACCTCATAAAGACTCTCTACTCGAGCACAACTGGTCGAGTTAGAGCCTATGGCGAACTGTCATCAGAACTGATTACCACAAGTGGCGTTCGTCAGGGCTGTCCACTCTCCCCATTCTTGTTTAACTTTGTCATTGACATACTTTTAGAGATAGCACTTTCATCAGCTAAACCTCCAGGAGTTGAACTTTTACCAGGAGGCTCACTTGTTGACTTAGAATACGCCGACGACATAGTTTTACTCGGTGAAGACGCTGACAACATGCAGAGTCTTCTGACCACTATAAGCAACTATGCAGGCATGTTCGAGATGCGATTCTCTCCCTCGAAGTGCAAAATGTTACTTCAGGATTTGGTTGCAGCGACACCTGAACTAATGATAGGGAGTGAAGTAGTTGAGCGTGTAGACCACTTCACTTATCTTGGGAGTCTCATCAGCCCTTGTGGTCTGGTATGTGACGAAATCTCAGCACGGATACAGAAGGCTCGTCTAGCTTTCGCCAACTTGCGTCATTTATGGCGTAGGCGAGATATCCGTCTAGCAAATAAAGGACGGGTTTACTGTGCATCAGTTCGCTCCGTCCTACTTCATGGCAGTGAAACATGGCCGATAAGAGTAGAGGATATTCGTAGGCTACTAGTGTTCGATCATAGGTGTCTTCGAAGCATTGCTCGTATATCCTGGGACCACCGGGTAAGTAATGCAGTTGTTAGGAAACGAGTACTAGGTAGGGATGGCAAATCGATTGATGAAGTAGTGAAACTTCATCAGTTGAGATGGCTGGGACATGTGTTACGTATGCCGGACCACCGACTGCCCCGACGTGCAATGTTTCATGGTGTAGGAGTAGGTTGGAAGAAAGCTAGGGGTGGCCAGATCAAAACGTGGCACAAATCAATGAAGTCACTGACAAGTGGACTGGGCCATGTTGGTAGGTGTAGACTACCTGGTTGGGATTCGCGAGATGACAGCAACCGATAGTTAGAGACCTTGAATGACATGGCTCAAAATCGTTTGCAATGGCGAAGGTGCATCCACTGTGTGTGTTCTCCCAAATTATAATCTTCTGAATTCCTCATGTCTTTATCTTTTTCTCTTTCCAAATTTATTTCACTGTACTATACTCCTTCAATAATTTCTTCAAACCCTAATCTTTTGTATTTCTGATTATACTCCTACTACTTCTACCACTATGGGATTTGAATCGACAACTGCATCTCTGTGCTAATGTGGTATGGCAACTCGAACTGATGTACGTACGTACGAAGTTCTACGTTGTGACTGACTGACTGATTATACGATTTACCATTCTTGAGCTATCCCCAGTCTATTGATTACTGTTCCCCATATTCACAGCAACATTTGGCCAAATCTTGTACAAATTTTATTTTCTATTTTATGGTACGATGTGGTCAGTTTGTTTGGTATATAAACCCAGTATGTTTGGGAATAATGATTCACGTAGCAGAGGCTGTTATTGGTGTTCTGGACTTAACTGGCTGGGTTAGGCAGAAAGCTGGACTGATAAGTACTCAAGACTGCTCATGCGGTTTTGTGTATCATTGGGCGATCAATAAATTCACTGCTCTCCAATTGGCAGTCTTATCACTCACATATATCAACTGGGCAAAAACGCACGCAATCGATATAACAGCTCTATATCATCAAATCGACTGATGATAAAAATTTGAGGATAGCTTATTTTTAGATCTATGTTCTAGTTCGATACCTGTGTTGACTTATTAGTGAACAGACTACATAAATGTTCATTTTCAAATGGTTTGTTAAATTCTTATTTTTTTCTTGAATTAAGCTTTCATAACCTGGATTGTTGATCTTTTCATTTTATAAAATGATAATTCGCAGCTAGAAAAACATGATACTTGTGTATACGACTACTTAGAGGTACGCGATGGTTTAAAAGATACATCCCCACTGCTGAAGAAACTATGTGGATCACATCTACCCACTCCAATTAAATCAACCAATAATGTGATGTATGTAAAATTTGTATCAGATAGCTCAGTAGAAAAGCAAGGATTTACAGCCACATTTCAGAAAGGTAATTTTAAATTTTAAATTAGTTGTTTGATAATATAATTACCTCAAAATTAGTAAGCGTGAGATTTACTTCAATAATTTAAACTGCGTAACAGTAGTATAATTGTAATGACCAATTTTTTAAGTCTCGATGTCCACAATGTCTGCCTAGCTAAGTTATGTAAATCAAGTTTGGGAGAAAGTCAGTAAAAAAGCACAATTCAGTAAACAAGTGTGATTAGTTTGCTGGGAAACCTAAGTGTATGGCTTTACTTTTTTTTAATTGAAACTGCTAAGTCTTCTAATTGAACGCTAGATTCGGTTCCTAAGTCCTATTAACCCACCGGCTAAATATACACAGCAACTTGAACACGATAAAAAGGGCGCGAAATATGGAAGTAAAGCTTTACTCCAAGATACGTTCATGTACAAAAAATTTATGGTATTTATAGCACTTTAGATGACTTTGGGCTTCCGGAAAATTCTGGGACGCCACTATACGTAGTAGCAGTACAAGTGACCGTGCAATCAGAAATGCGACATGTGACTTTTCACTTTCTAGATGTCTCTGGCAAGACTTATATTGAATACTGATTGGATAAGGAGTTTCTCAGCGTTTTCAGAGCCCTTTTGGCCTTTTTCTAGGGATTTTCTGGATCTCTTCAACAGAAACAAATTTGATCATCTTTTTTTCAAAACTACTGGAAACTACGTAGAAAATTTAATTAATGAATAAATAGTGAAAATATTCATTTATGAAATCCTGAATATTCAAATTAATTAAGTATATTATTGGTCTTATTGGAAATGATCGATACAGCTCTAAGAATACCCTTCTAAAAAATTATATTATCCAATGAAATGTATTAAGATCCATTTGCTATCAGCCATTAGACTTATTACCTTAGTAAAAGACGTGTTCGGAACCAATGAACTGACGGGATTTTTTACTAAGAAAAATTTACTGGGGACTACTGATATTCATAAAAGATTGTCTGTCTTCAGTGTTTTTTTCAGTCTGAAATTGCCTGTCATAAATTTTTAATACGATTTTGGTTCTACCGGAACAGAAGAAAATTTCAATTCCTTGACTACGTATGTGATATATGAAACATTTCGGTTGTGGATTAAGTTACGTTTACTGTTTAACGGTCAGGAATATTTGTGATAGCCTTGATCAGTAGGACTATTTACTAGTGTTAAAAAACCCAAATCACTAACATTTAAGAGGCAATTTATCACTTTCGATTATTGAGGCGAGAATGGAATCCACGCGACAGTTAACTTGGAGATTGTTAATTTGAATGTTCCCGTGAGATATAACTGTTAATTCTCACCTATCGTTTTTTCAAAGCTAAACTTCAAGTGTCCAAAGCTGAATACTGTAAATAAAAAACTATTCGTAAAACCTAATTCTTTATTAGCTGGAAGAAAAGAGCAATCAGAAAGTTATAAATTATATAACAAAATGACTCATTAAGAGTTACCTACTGTCTGTTATTTACACACTACAGTTCGTCTAGAAAACCTTAAATAATATAAATAGATCTTTCTATATGGTCTTTTGAATTGATCTGAATACTAATTTCAAAAAACAAAAAGATTCGCCACAATATTTGTGTGTAAACCGTACATTAGGACGCACTTCATTTAAAAGATTCAATAAATGATAAGCATGCCCATGAATATCGTGAGCAAAATATCTATTGTCAACATACCTGATGTAAAGTTTTATAAAATTAATTCATTTTCCTTTGTTCCAGTTTTGACATGAATATATCTGCCAGGACTGTCCCCAATGGCGACCCATAGTGACTCTGTCAACTTATCGACAGGAGGTGTTTTTTCAGACCGAAATCGTGTACTTTTAGTGCATGATAGTAAGAACTGTTTGAACTCACCCTTTTATTAATGGAAGAAAGCCACTAGGAACACAGTGAAATTGTTATAGATCTTTAGCTATCTACATGTTAATCAAACTTTATATTAGTAAGGTCCAACATTTACCTGAATCATATTTTTTTCTAATTACCATCATTATTTTATCACACTGATTACCGAATAGCTTTAATCACAAAATACCTGTGGAAATATAGTTTATTTTAAATACAATATAGTATTCCTATACTTTCAGAAAATCTTCCCATTTAAATAAATTAGATATTCAAAATCAATATAATTTTCTATCTTCTCAGTCCACTAGGTTATAACTATACTCCAATTATGTGTAACTGGATTGAACTTTGATGATTGAAAATAATAATTATTTTGTTTGATTTACCATAGAATTTGATGAGTGCAAAACTATGAAACATGGTTGTTCACATACTTGTGTCAATACACTTGGAGGTTATCGATGTCAATGTGAGATTGGTTATGAACTACATGCAGATGGGAAACGTTGTGAAGGTAATTAGAATGACCCAATCAAATGACTAAAAAAATCCTTCTTTATGTAATAAAAGAAATTTGATGGTTTATTTGATTTTATATTACGGTTTAGTTGTTTTCTACATCTATAGAGTGAAGTCTATTCTGGTTGGGTTTACTCATCATGAGCGAACATTGTTTGCACATAATCATTATCATTATACTTTCTAAACTTTCATTTCTCATATTACTAAAGAAGACAGCTAGTGATTTAATCAGTAGTATTAAAACTAATTGTAAACTATCGCTTCATTTACTATTGTGATATTAATGGAGCTGTGGATAGAAATGACTTTTTAAGGAACGGATGTTATCTGATCTTGATTTTTGATCATCATTCAAATTCGTATCTTCGTAGTAAAAACAAATTTCGTAAAATCAATAATAAATAGATGTTTGTTACATTCTACATAATTAAAATCTTATCAATATGTAAATTAAAATATGGAGTTTTCCCAGTTCATTTACCCATTTTTATTATTTGTAGATAGTTGTGTTAAGCGACGTTTTGTCAGCGTAGGACAAGAATTACACAGAACTATGGACGATTCATAAGTGGAATAAATTAATTGATTCCATTTCACTTTAAAGAGTATTTTGATAAAAGTATAATGTAAGAGAGTAAAACAGCTCAGCATTTATCTAAGAATGCTACAGCTATTTACTTGATATTTAAAGTAATGCATAATGATGCATAGAAACACAGTTTGAAATCTAGTCTTTGAGATACTCAGGAAAAGAAACATTTCAAAACGACTAAATTTTTCTTTCTTATTAAAAGCACCAGGAATTTTCTGTTAAGAATAATTTATACATCTAGATGTTCAAAATAAACTACAACTGAATTCCATATCGATTTTGGCTCTATCAAGACATTTCCGGTTACACTTCACAAAATGCATTGGGAAGAAAGTTATAAAACTGATTCTAAATTTCAATTGAGATTAGGTTATTTTATTATTTTAACAGCATAACATTATAGAGTATTATGATGTCATTGTTACTATATTCGTTAATCGATAACATTATTGTTTATACAAGTGACATAATTTTTTTTATAAATTAGATGCATGTGGAGGGGTAATCAATGAGTCGAATGGTACTATTCAAACACCTTTGTTTCCTGATTTATATCCACCTAAGAAAAATTGTATCTGGAAAATTTTGGCACCACCTAAAACGACAATATTTCTTAATTTTACACATTTTAATTTAGAAGGTCATAATGTGAGTTAACTTACAGATATTTCTTATATCCTAATGTTTTCATTTATAAACTAAAAAATGTTCAATGACATTGATTTTGAATATATAAACTGGTTAGAAATAATACTTCCTTGAATGACTTGTTTCATCAGTTAAATGGCCTATTACAATCTTTTATGCCATACCAATATAATATTACACATTAGATATTAGTTCAATAAAACCAGTGACACTTTGATCAAGTGCTTGTTATGGAAACCATCAGGTCAAAAATGTGATTGAGTGCTAATTAAAATATTCTATGATATGAATGATGTTCGAACATATAAATTAATTTATTTTAAGTGAGACTTGCAAAGGTGAGATCCTCATCATAAATAAATAAAATTATCCGATCGAAAATGTTATAAAACCATGGCTAGGCACATTCGTGAAATCAGTGTGTTCTATTTTTATTCAAGAATGATCAATGCTAATAAGTCCGAAAATGGAATATATGTATATATACGAATAAAGTAAGAAATTAAAACAGGAGTTTGAATTCATAATCTGCTAATAGTAATACAGACGGAAAAATGATAAATTCAGAATTAGTTAAATGGCCAGAGAAGAGAGTAACGTTTTCTCGATGTAAAGAATAGGTTTATCTAGGTGGATTCCTATGGCTTCCACTTTGTATGGGAGGAAACATCTGGATAAAAAAGAACAAGCTATTAGGAATTATCAGAAGGGGTTTTTTGGAGATTTAGTATTTATCATAGTTGAAAGCGTGAGTATGTGATATGTGATATGATATGTAACTTTGAATGTGATATATGTGTCGATCTTACAGCTTGTGTGTGTGCTAGGACAAAACTTTCTACCGTTTTTCTTTGTTTACAAATATTCCTAATTAAATACATAGACTGTATTAAATGTAAATCCGTCGTTTTTATTTGATTATCGTTTCGGTTAAGACTAACAATGACAGCTCGATTTACAATTGATCTTTTCCTTGCCTAGCGAGCATGTCGATATGATTTTATCAATGTTTACAATGGTTCAACAGATAATCAACAGAAAATCGGCACATTTTGTGGTGATCAAATACCGGAGCCTATTACATCCCATACAAATGAACTCAGTATTGAATTTTATTCAGATACATCTGTACAGCGTACTGGTTTCAGAGCTGTATTCTTTACTGATCGAGATGAATGTGCTGATAATAACGGAGGTTGTCAACATTTATGTAGAAATACAATAGGATCATACCATTGCGCTTGTCGACCAGGTTTTAATCTTTACGGCAGATATGAATGCAAAGAGAGTAGGTTTCATTCAATATTTTAAATTATAACGAGAGGGATGTATTCAGTAATATTGAGTTCTCTGCGCTGGATAGTTTAATTGAGAAGCATAAACCTTTGTCGGTATCTATGTAAACTGGAAATAAGGATTTTAGATTCATTCAGCAAGTGGCAAGTATGTCAGTCGACGATTAGTAGACATATATTCAATGCTTGAATCGATAAGGACACAGCATTTGAAAAGAATTCAAATGTCTAAAGTCTTTATGAGCAAACAATCAATAATATGATAATCAGGTTGAGCTGATATGTTATCTAAGGGATAATTCTAAAATGTTGATTTCTAGTCGAGGTAGGTGTTTTTCACTTAGTTCAGGGTGACTAGAAAGTCCTTGCCATAAAACTGCTCACCATAGAAAACTCAACATTATTTTATACTGTATCTTTATAAATTCATATTTTCCGTTTGTAGATGTTACTATATAATTTGTAAGTAGTTTACTAAGGTAAATGGTCATTTTTCATTTTAAACACATTTCTGTTAGTGATTTAAATTTTTTTATTTCAGTGAGAAATATGTGCCTACTCTAAGTAAATTTTTAACGACAATATCTATCTTAAATGATCCATCTCAGATAAAAACAAAAGCTGAATTTTCAATATCAGCACCACACTTTTGAGTGATAATGGACTTTTGCCGCATACTTTGGATGTTAGGTTGTTTCAAATATTTAGTAACAGTTTATTAGTGTATGTTTCGTACAAGATAATATTCGTCTACAGCAAGTACTTGTGAGATTTGAACCAACTAGTATCAAGGTCAGACGAGTTAATATGGGGCCATCAGATTCGAAATATCCGTACATCAGGACTGGAGTATTCACCACGATCAATCACTGAATAATGAACAATGTAAAACTTCTCTAGTCATTATCCTTGATTGAGTTATATCGATCACGTTGCAGTGTAGCCACTATATTAGGTAACTGAAGGTTGAGTTCGCTATGTTGAGATTTTAGGTGGTTAGAGCTAATGGTCTATAGACCTTGATTTCAGGTATCGTGCATTTCGGTACTCGTCAACCAACCCTTTCTACAAAGACACTCAGTGATCAATCAGTGTATATTTCATTGTTGGAAAACATGTCCTAAGGTTTCTATAAACAGGATTAATTGGTTCTAATTCAGCGAGTAGTGAGTCGCTTACATCATACAGCTTAAATATGACGTTTTAGAAATCGAAAAATCATCAGTGGAATATGGCTTGATCCATACTGGATTAAAAGCGATAAAAAGAGATGTTGCTCTTCAACTTACTGCTTAGTTAATTTCAAAACATTTGCTTCACAGGCTGCCTCAAATCAAAAAGTAAAACTTTATAAATTATTATTCCAAATATCGTTCATTTAACCCTTCCATGTTTTATGAATGTAACTTAATGTTTTAAAATGAATATACTAGATTTCCACCTTCATAGTCAGGTTTCTGCTTCATTTAACACATATAAATTACTGATTTCAATAACCTTTTAAGATATCTTTAATGTGTTCATGAATTTCATCTAGTTTAAAGTAGTGTATTATCATTTTATAACTCAATTCCTAGATAAAAGATATGGTCTGGTGAAATATGTCTTTGATTTGGACCTCATTGTTTGTAAAGGACTTAATTAATAAACTTTATTAACAAGTAATATAACTACTGTTTATGGACTTGAGATATTATTAGAAACTAAATATCTGCTTATATAAGATTTAACGAAAAACAGATTGGTGGTTATTTATTTTCCAAACACTAACCGTTTTAATCTAAGATCGTTCAATATTCAGCGGACGAAACCTTCATGTGTGAACTTTTCGCCTTCTCACCTTAATCAATAAATAACTAATTTCTGATTGACCAGGAAGTGGATCTCTAATCTCTACTTAATTTTTGATGACTTACTCCATTAATTCATTTGGACGAGAGAGTTTTATTCCGTATTTATTTACCTTATCTCAGTGGAAAAATGAGTCCTTTCTATATTTAACGATGCGAAGTATAGTATGATTTTGATAGAATCATTATAAAGACAACCATACCTTCAAATATTTTACATTGTAATAATGGTTAATATTGATGCATCAACATGAAACAATATAGTTTTTCTTAAGGCCAATATTGTCAACGCTTGTATACAATGTACAGTTCTGGACATTTTTTCTATTGTACATGGTGTCTGGTATAAATTTAATTTTCTTCAAAAAGAGAGCAAGTCATTATCTCAGTGAAAGTGAAGTTTTTTTGAAAAAAATACCGAAACAATATTTTGATCAAAATGATAATAAGAGAACTGGAAAAAGAGGTCGTTCTCAGCATCCACGATTGTCTCAATCTGGATTCTAAGTCTGCTACATGTAGCCTAGATGATATTTCTAGAGAGAGTTTTAAATGCCTCCCTGATTCTGTAGACCAGCTGGACATGTGGACCACAACCGATACCATCGGTATCTTTCACAAACATATCAACGCACATGGTTGCGCCCAGGGGAGTTAGAACCTCGAACATTGGAATTAGTGGTCATAAAAATTCCCTATTAACCAATTATGTCTTCTTCATTTTACGATCGATAACCGAATCTCACTTCTTTATATATGGCCTTCCCTAAGCTATCTTTTCAATATTTTCCAAGTTTGTTAGATGATATTGTAGATCATACCACTCTACATACATTAAGGTACAAATTCAACAGTTTAACACTTTATGTGTGTTCTATTTTCACGAAAATCTTTATAAAAGGCCACACATATTTTACACAATTGATATTCATCATTTATCTACTGTATGTGTGATTATTATTTTAAGCAAGAATACAACTATCATTATGATTATTATTATTATTGTTATTATTATTATTATTAGATTGAAACATTGAACAGTTCAATAGCTTTTTGTTTAAATTATCTCATCGCTGGCGACAAAATTAAGTTAAACAATAGACGAATATTAATGATTTTAATTGCATTTCTATACTTATCTGATTTTTTTTTCAAATCATATCAACAATATGAATAAGATTATCAATTAACGATTAGTATAGGTGTTTTTATTATCTTTGTAATATGAAAAGTGATCGATTTAATTTTAAGTTATCAAGTAATTGAGGTTCATTAATTGCGTGATATGATTTCTGATAAAATATAGTTCAGATTCCTAATGTTACATTAAAGTAAGAGTGAGTATATATGTGTTTCATGATTTGGTTATTATCAATGATAATAAACTATTCCTTATCACTACCACTGTTTGTATTACTGAATTGTTGTCTCTAAGTCATCTAAGTAAAATTTAGCGTTTAAAGAGTTAAAGTATCTTTATCTCTTTTTTGTAAATGATTTTAATTTTCTGATCGTTTCTACTTACTTTCATCTGTTTTCCCAAATTACTTGATGAGTGATTGAAAACTGCTTTTCGTCACCAAGTAACATCAATCGCAGAATTCTTGAAACGCAAGGAACAATAGACAGTAATTTTATCTTAGTTTGGGATAATTCTCCATTCTATACCAACAACTCTATACAAGGTTTAGTTTAAAACTCGAAGATCTTAGAGTAAACATCCCACCAATGAACCAGTAGATTGAAATCTAATGGTCTAGTTTCTCTTTAGTAAGGGATTTCTTTAACAGTGCGCATCCACCTTCCCGTCAGCTATTGAATCCAGGACAATCAAATTTCTCAACGGACATCTAACCACTGGAACTAGTGAGTCAGAACCCAATTATAAAATCCTAAGTTCAATCACTTGCCACTCTCAATATGTTTGAATTCCACTAGTCACAACTACTCAGTAATCATCTAATGGTTTATATTAAATTCTTTATATTAACTATCGAGATACAATGATTAAAATATAATACCATAAGTGGATAATTTCTTCAATTTACTCATATGAATAATGATAATTAGTCTGATATAATGAGTACATGTTTCTCATTTTTGAGAATTTGTTTTAATTGATATCGTATGATTCACTGACCTTGACAGATACAAGCGCTTAATAGGTAATAACATCTTACTAATAGTTGTTTCTTCTAAAATTATTTACCATCAAAACGTATTTGTCAACAGATGTTAGTAATAAGTTTGCAGCATTATTCCGATTATCTAATGTTGTGAATCATATTTATCCAACTTTTTATTAAATCAGCTATTAAGCATTGGTCTTTTTATCCGTTTCTGGTGAATATGGATTTCATGTCACAAAACTTGGTGATAAATTATCAAAATCATCATTCAGTTTGCAAATATTTTTTTTAAAAATATGCTCGCTTCTTCAATATATGCCGATTTGAAGAGTCAAATCATTAAACATCTGGAATAAGCGGTAACTAAGTTTTGGTTATAATGTAAAAGTCTTGAATAATTGTAACTTAATAAATAAGACAAAATACAATAACTGCCAACAATATTGTGATGTAAAATTAATATTTACTTTCAAGAGAACACTTAATGATCAAAAGCAACTTACTCCCTTGTTGCGATACTACTCTTTCAATATGTAGCCACAAAGATACCAGTGCGTCAATTTTAAGGAACTCAATAACAATGACATTGCTGACAATTGTTCTAAAGGGAACTAAACCCATGCACAAGGTAATTATGGTTGTAGTTCTACTTATAACTAAAGTGATATGTAGCATCTGACATTCTTTGCAAACAAATGACACAAATCGCCTAGTGGCTTAGTGGAACTGGATTCATGACCTAGTGTTAGCATCCAGTTGAGAAGTCCCAAGTGGCATGAGATGATCGTCCTGAATTCCCCCTCTGTCCGCAAACAACAGGAATCATCATTTTTTGAATAATTTTTCACAGTATAATGTAAATTAAATATAGTATACTTAAATAAGCTATTTAATTATCTCGCTTGTATTTTTCCGATTATCTTATACATTATAATAACTGCATAGATTTTTGATGAGAAATAAATGTTTCTTTTCCGCTGTCATTGTAATTACTTATCAATAAATGCTGAGCTTTATTTTTATATAAAACATATTTCTAGTTGTTTTTTTTATTATTCAATAAAAGAGATCACCGGATCCCTGATCACTAACAAATAGTTCACCCCTGACTCTACTATCATCATACATGAACTTCGAATTTTAACTAATATTTTTCATATAGTTGAAATCATGAGTCATTTGAAGCTAGGCAACCATGGAAAACCTGAGTGCAACTGGCTGACCGTTTCGTCTTATTGTGGGACTCTTCAGCAGTGCACATCCACGATCCCGATTCGCGAGATTCGAACCCAGGACCTATCAGTCTCGCAACGGAGCGATTAATCTCTAGACCACTGAGCTGGCTGGCATCCAACGGTGTTAATGTCTAACTTAAACTAATCCACGAAATTGACCGACAAATCCACCAATGTCTTCAGTGAGTTGATATCTCCCAACAGACCTGGTTAAACTTCACTGGTCACTGCATCTCACTAGAACTTCAGGAAATACCTCATGGAGCCAGTCACTAGTTTGCATATGATCATTATCAGAAGGGGGTTCTGTGGAGATTTTAGTAATTTTATATAGTTGAAATCATGAGTCAATTGAAGCGCGCGAAACTGATAGGTCCTGGGTTCGAATCTCGCGAGTGCGGGATCGTGGATGCGCACTGTTGAGGAGTCCCACAATGGGACGAAACGGTCGTCCAGTGCTTTCAGGTTTTCGATGGTGGTCTAGCTTCAATTAACTCATGATTTCAACTATATAAAATTACTAAAATCTCCACAAAACCTCCTTCTAATGAGATTTTTATTTGAATTAGCCAGTGAAATAGTTTAAATCAACACATACAGTTTCTTATTCACTCTCCCCTCGCAAAAAACAACTTAATCTAAATCAAAAACCTTGTTTAAGAGATGTAATGAATTCAAATTAAAGTTCGTGCGTATAAATGTGTTTGTAATAACTTTGAAAATAGGATAAGAAGTTAGTGTATCAAAAAGTGACAAGCCAACAGATAAAATGCGTTTAGCTGAAACCATGTTGGGAAATCAATTTGTAAATACTACATAATATAAACGTTTCTTCGTAAATTTAACCATTTCCAGTGCATCATATTCTTTCACTGAATAATGCTTTAACAAAACTTTTTTAAAGTTGTAAGTGAAAATTAACAGAAAAATTCTCTTGTCATAGTTTTTACCTTATTTAGTATGATGATACGTACCTGGATGGATCATTGTTTTTGTTTAACTAGACATTAAAACTGGATGTCAGCAAGATATATCTTCACCTGATGGGGAAATTATCACTCCGAATTGGCCAAATGAATATCCTGTGAAGCAAAATTGTCATTGGAAAATTACTGTAACACCTGGTCATAGAGTGAAAGTTGTAAGTGGTCATATTTTAAAAACTTTATCTTTTTTCATTAGAACAACTATTTATCTTAGCATAATTAATCTCATTTTACCACAGAACTGTATACAATGCTCCTGATAGGGTTGTGGTGTATAAGCTCTTAGATGAGGCACGTCTTCCAAATATACTTGACAGGAATTTACATGTATTTTAATCGACATACTGTTTGCTTTTAAGCTTTAGTCTTTGAACACTACGTCAGTCTAGACATTGCCTGACATGACCTGATTATGGTCATTCGAATTGATGAATGCTTGAATAAACATGAAGACACATTCGTCAATTATTTAGTAATAACAATACAATCAATAAGTTAGCAATGAATTATAATGTGAATGCAGGAAGAGGATCAACACGTAGTACGGTATGCATTGATGAAGAACTCACGTTCCTCAGGAAAACTCTAGGGGAAAACGATTATTCGAGCTACTTCATAAAAAAGGATATGAAAAAAGATGTTGGCAGAAGGGATCTGGTTCTTCCGTTTGAAAGAAAAACCTTTATATGAATCTGGAATCCAAAAGTCACCGAACATGTGATGTAACTAAAATCCGTTTACGGCAGCGATAAAAAGAACGTTCTATGCGACAAAACTGAGAATAACGTTCACTAGTAGAAACTTGTTTTCTGTATCCTTAAATGATAAACTTCCCCATCTGGTTGCCTTCATGTACGTCTGCGAGTTCACCTGCTCTTGTAGAGCCAGGTACATAGACCGTAGCCAGTGCTCGCTTTCAACTCGGATAATAGAACATATCCCATTGTGATTCTACAAGGGTAAGGGAAAAGCAGTTAGAAGTTCGATTCTTGAACATCTAATCGACTCTGATTATTCTACTGATCCACTGATTGATTTTAAGGTTATGTATACGATTCGTAAAGATCTACCTAGATCTCTTCGTATCCAAATCCTTAAAATACCAGAGGCTCTTACCATCCATGAGCTCAAAATACAATAGTGCGTACCAAAGAAGTACGCCATATCGTTATCGTTCCCTTGGTCTTAATCTAATCTAATATTATGTTATTATTGTCTTTGTATTTCGAAATCCCCTCCTCTCCCTTTACTTATCTCTCATATCCTCATGATTTTATTCATAATTGTTCATGATATCACTTCATTTAATTTTGCACCTCTATCGCCTTTAATTACTCTCAGCTATTGTAACAAAAACATTTTGATCCCATTATTGCATTCAAATTATTGAGTAGTCTGTTTGTTGTACTGTGAAATCCGGCTGTCTGGCTTAGTATTTAGCATAATGAGTAAAAAGGCCTTGAAGCACAAGAAAATGCATTGATATCAAACGAAAAACACTGTTGTAATATATAAGAAGTTAGCGGTTATTTTTCCAAGAATATAACTGAAAACATCACTATCAATAAACATTTATCGTCAGTATTAAGATAAAATCATCAGACTGACCTGAAAAAGTTGATTTAAGCAGTTCATCAACCATAGTTTATGGCAAAGAGTTGTTGATTCTTAGTAGATCTACTTATTTACTTTTAACTATGATTGTATTGTAGATATTTGCCGATTTTGAACTTGAGTCACATCAACAATGTACGTATGATCAAGTTATAGCTTATGATGGACCAACAAATAGTTCCGCTTTTCTTGGTCAATACTGTGGTAGTCGAAAACCTGGCCCAATTATTTCTTCACAGAATCAGTTGTTGCTTACATTTAATTCTGATTCATCTGTACAACGTAAAGGATTTCGAGCTCAACATACTACAAGTCAGTTGTAATATTTTATTAAGAAACTCAGTAAGGATTATTAAAGTTAGAAACACGAACTACTGGACGCCAACGTAGTGGTCTGAAGGTTAAGAGCTATCCCTCAAGCCTTAACGTCATAGGTTTGATCTCTTATGAGGCTATATTTGCCTACAGCTGAGAATTCCCATTCCAGAACATGTAATCTACACCTTGTTGTTTGGCGTAATTAAACTTAGAGTTGATTTTATTTACAAATATAAGACTAGAACATTTTACATATCGAGTCATTTTTGAATTATTCTTCATTATGAGTCAATTTCAGTTGAGAGATTTATAAGAACTAAAAACTAGCTTACATCTTTCCTTTCCTGTGCCCGTATCGATAACATACATGTAATAACTATTTATATATATATAATGTTTACAATTTCAAGATTTAATTGACAGGGTAATCTTTGTAGAGTTGTGAGACTTGGGGATAAAATTAGCTGAAATCCATCGTAACGTGGTATGTCGTAGTTATACTTATGTTTCTAGGTTGATAGTTGTTAATCGGTGGTAGTTTATCAGTAAAAACTCAGATAAATGTTATACAATGTTGTATCATATCTGAAGATATTTGACTTCCAATAACTTTATTGTAATATTGTGGTTTGGTCTACTTATATCTATATAAGTAGTATATGGTGTTGGTCAGACATAGAATGTATTTTGGCAGAAGACCGATGAGGAAAGAACTGAAATGAAGCGCAATCGTCTGGAAAATGCATGAGCAATGGAATTAGAGAAGAAACAGGGAAGATTAAAGCAATTGGTTGTTAATTTGCAAATTGACTGTTCATTGTTTGGTTATCAGAATTTACCTAGATAGTCTGTAATGTTTGTTTAAAGACCTTCAATTGTCCCCAGTCGTGTTCTGTCCACTACAATATGACTATCCTTAGCTAGACATAGCCCATATCGTTACCAAACAGTAAGTACGAATATGGTCGAAGAGCTCTGACAGATTGCTACTTGTGGATCACAGAAAATGTTACTAACATGAGTACTGTTGATAACTTCTATAGATTTTTTGTAGTGCAGGTATCTGATTATATTTCGAATCAACCTGGGTTAGTTTTTAAGATACCATTGAATAGCGACAATGACTCTCGGTATGAAAACAACTTCACCAAGATTGTAAGGTCAAGAGATGCTAAAAGCATATAACCCTGAGTACAAACTGATTGCTTCGATCACATCATGATGAAATTTCTATTTTGTATTCTCTGATTGTCACTTTATGTTTATCTACTTTCGATTCGCAGGTAATGATCACTTCGACACTGTGTTATCAACCTCACTTGTCAATATATTTTAGGTGCATATGTTCGGTTAATACATCATAACTACTTTAACTTATCAGTCACTATGACAACTGATTCTGAAAATAGTTGAGATATTGAAACACTGAAAATTTGTGCTTTAGGTGGATGTTTTTGCTTGTGACGTATCGTATGATGTGCGCGGTTTAACTGCAAGTCTTTTATTATCTGTTTGAGTAAACAAATCACCTCTGTATGAATCAAGTGCTGGTGATACGGTCCAGAACGGTAATAAAAGCATCATAACAAAATTATCAAACTCAGAAAACACATCACGATCCAAAGTTTAAAAATTAGAATAAATCAGCTTATCTAGAATTTATACTGTCCTTAACACCTCAACAACTAATGGTATGAGATTTTTAGACTACGAATGAGATTTTAAAAATGCAAGTTTTTTGTGTTTGGTGAGTATTTTTACATATCAGAATTATATATTGATTTTCTTAATAACTTTCTTCTAAAGTTTGTGGTGGTCATCTAACTGCTGATAATGTTGCGCAAACACTTTATTCACATGCTAAGTTTGGTGATCTCGATTACGAATCAAATCAACAGTGTTACTGGACAATTACTCCGAAATTAGATAATCATACTGTTCTACTGAAATTTCTTTATTTTGAAGTAGAAGAAGAAACGCTATGCACGTAAGTTTACCAACCGTGAACAAAAATTATCTATTCTAGTGATTATTTACAATGTGAATAGTCCGGGATTGATGTCTCTGACCATAGTGGGCAAACAACCCGGCTTCTCCCAAATACCCCGAACAGATCGAGTAAAAGCTATTGATTCTGCTATAACGGAATGAATATCATATGATTTGGTACTGGTTTTCCGAATTATTATTAATTATAATTTTGTCGAACAATTACTTGTCAACTAGATTACCATGTTAATGTATCCCATTTATCATAAGCTTTCAATTAATCCATAAACTACTATCATACGGCTTAATGTTTCCAATATCTCAGTCTATTATTTAGTCTCTTCTATTCACAGTCACTTTGGTTTACTTATATGCAGTTATTATCTTCTATTTTATGGTGTGATGCTGTCCAGTATGTCTGTATATCAACCAGATAGAAGCTTGCAAATAATGAACCAATAAGGACTTAGCTGCGTCGGCTCTAGGTTAACAGTGCTGGCCGAGTGTGTAATTGATAAACTTCGAAACACTAGGATATCGAGGAAAAGAAATGCTCGATATAGACCAAATTAAGATTAGGCTTCTGACTGGTGACTTGGCACATGATATTAGCCAGAGGTCCCGAGACAACAACTGCTCTCTCTTTCTCTCCTTCAATATATACTATGAAAAACCTACTCTCTGACTTCATATGACTTGTATGTTCCCACAAAATATGAGATGAAAGTTGGCATCTGATCTTCAGACGGTATTATCGAATGTTAATATTCCCAAGGAGTTTTATAACCCTGGTCACAGACCATGTACATGTATTCCACAATTGTAGAGTAATGAGTGGAGTATGAACTTGCTTTTGCCATCGGCTACAAGAAAAGTTCATCTTCTGAAGGTACTTCACTGTTTTTCGAAGGAACCCTCAAATCAAAGACCCTATGACATTGCCAGGATGGTACCACAATCCTCTCATAAGTTGTGTCAGATACCTCGGCGGAAAGATATCCTTCTTTTTTATGTTGACATGAGAGAGGATCCCTTCCTTTTGCAAATAATAAACAAGTCGATATTTTCAGAAATGACAATAAAGTATATTCAGATGTTTTGTGAAATCTAGAAGTGATGTCGCCGTAGTGTACTTCTAACCCAAAAAGTTCAGGCAGCTAAATAGAAAGCAGTGATTTCTGTTTATTCTTCAATATTGATTCAATACCATGAAATTAGGAAGATCAATAAATGACACTTAATCCGTCGTCACAGAAGAAATATATATCCTTGTTAGATTGTCCATAACAAATGCTTAGGTTTCTCGAAATTTTAAGGTATTTTCTATGTTTAGCTTCTGGTAATAGCATCGATCAGATCTTACCCATTTCTCCGTAAAATTACCATTGATTTGATATAGATTCGAGAGTATTTCAACCTATTCAAATAATCAAGGTCAAGTAGAAAATCTATTAGCTATCCATGAAAAAATTTCTAGTGTTCACATTTCACCCCACTGATTGCCTAGTATTTTAGCAAGGTATGCAATACATTTTATGTTAGAATTTCGATATGTCTGTATCCCAATCTAGTTTTGAATTATCTGTGAGGGGATCGAACGCATTTCCAAACTATCATCTGAATCACATTGCTCCATATAGTGAATTAAGTAATCCATTTTGTGCATACTTATCTTTAGGTACAAACGAACACTTAACTCTTGAGCAAGACGACTGAAGGTATAGAAATAATTTGTCTGTAAATTAGTTGAAAGCTGAGGCTCTCATTTTAGAAACTTAAGATTATCTTTGACATGTATTATTCATTCTTGTTTGTTTCTTTGTAATCGTAATGAAATTCTATCATGCTTGCCAACCTCATCGTATTATTCAGGTACGACTATCTTCGAGTTTTCGATGGAGGTGATCCTAAAGGGAAACTTTTGGGTGGTTTTTGTGGGAGAACTGTGAGTCAATGGGTATTTTTTGAAAAGTGTTTTTTTAAGGGTTTCTAGCTATATCTTCGTATTTTGTCATGCATCCAATTTTTTCTGGCTATGATTAAAACTACTGTGGGTTTTTTTTTCATTTTAGATCTAACGATAAATTTTGAGGGTATAACCATAATTTTTTTTAATTATAGTTGTTGACTTAGGTTTTGTCAAAATATGTGCTCAATATGTCTAGGTGAATGCTTCTTTTACTCAAATATATAAAGATATAACATGTTGGGTAACAAATTATCTCTGACCACAACCACATTCGAACTTCATTTTAAACGGGTGATAGTGTGGTTACTAGAACTCATTCTTAATAAAAAGGCAGTCACTGTATAAATTATTGGCTCTTAAATCTGTCCTGAAACAATAAATAGCTGACTATGATGTTTTTAAAATTATTAATATTATTGGGTGATAGGTTTGAGGAGTGCAAAAGGGAAAGGGATGAAAATTTGTTCATCAGTGCGGGGGCGAGTGTGAATAACAAATTTGAACAACAGTTGTTTTCATGTTGAAAATAGTGAATTTCACGTAGATTGTTTCGAATACTAAAAAGAAATACTCGCAAAATGTATCACTGGTAAAGTTAGAAGATCATACACGAAGGGGTAAGGAAATCATATCCTTTAAATAGATATTGTATTTGTTCTTGAATGCGATTTCTAATTGAACTGAGCACTCCATCTTTATATTGTTACCTTATAACACCCTTGTTTATAGATCTGCTATCCCTGCCATTTTTTTTCTTCAGTGAAACATTCATACTGAATTTTACATCTTACTTAACATAGTACCAATGTTGTTTGCGATATTACTCTGGACATCACAATTAAATTCTTATGACACTTCTAACTTATTGTTATCCTTAAATAGGAATAAAATATTTGTAAAATCTCAGCGAATGAATTTTTTAAATTAAATCCAACGTTTCGCCTGGCAATCTGGTCCAAGCTTTTTCAAGGAATTCCAGGGAATTTCAAGGATAATTCCTTGAAAAAGCTTGGACCAGATTGCCAGGCGAAACGTTGGATTTAATTTAAAAAATTCATTCGCTGAGATTTTACAAATATATTATTCCTATTTAATGTCTTACTTCAACTCGGCGCTCAAATACTGTGAAACTATTCGTTCTAATTTAGACGAGAGTTCTTATATATTGTTATCCTTGTTTAAGTTGATTCAGTCGATTACAGTTCACTCAATAAACAACATTTGTTTCTAGCCTAGGATTAATTCATACTTAACTTATCAATTATACTATCTTATAGTCTTACCTTCAGCTTACTATAGGTGGTAATAATCATGGACTAACCTCAGATGAAGCAGCAATGTTCACCAAAGAGAGCTAGACAGTAGCATCATTCTGGTGTGTGATTCCTTTGCCGTGTGTACCCAATATTTTATATTGAGCACTTAACTATTAGACCACTGGGTTTCCATTCATATTTCCAACGTTAACCAGTTCATGATATGTTGCAACCGTCTTCTCAAGTTATTGATGATTATTGCGTTCTTGATATTTTTGAGCTCCACTAGTCCAGAGTCCCCACCGGAACTCCAGGAATTCATTTTAGATTTAATCGTCCCAGTTTATACCCATGGCAGGGTATTTTGTAAGCACTGTTGAGGAGTGTTATACTAGAAGGAAACAGCTGTCTAATTCTCCTTAGTTTTCAGTGATACTACACCTATTGTCAATCTATGACGAATTTTACCTACAAGTCAAACTAATCTTCACAAAACTTCTATGTGATAACTGATTGTAATTTTATTATCTAATTATTTCCATGTGTACTGATTACCATCAAAATCCAAATTTTCGGTGTCTCATAGTATCTTCTTGAATTTACAACCATAGAATTTTACAGTGATAACGATCGACAATAATTGCTCTTGCAAACATCAATAATCCCCAATAAATTTGCAAAATAAACTTTAGCTACTCACAAGTAGTACTAAATCATTTCAGTCACATTTATAAACACCCGATACCATTGGTGAATTTCACTCAAATAACAACAAGAATAAACTAAATACGATGTCATAAATCTTTATTTAAATAACTTAAAATAAAACGATATAAAAACTTAAATCCTTTTTATGGTTTCTTTCTTCAATTTACTACTTATGGTAATTTCACTGTGAATTAATGCTTTTATGTATCTAGTATTTTAATATAATTCTGTGATTCGGATAGAAGTCGTGATAAATTCTACTGAGATAACAAGTAAACTTCATTTAAGCATGATAACAAACCGAAATTATAGTTGGTAAGAACTCCTTTCATTTCAGTTGAAGTATGCTTTTCATTCACCAGACAGTTTAACAGGTCGAAAATTATTTATCTCTTTAAATCTTTAAAAGACAAGAGCATTGTAGTGTATACATGTACCCACGCGAACTAAATTAATACTTGTCACAGCACATGTAGTAATAATGATAATATATCATTGATGAATTTCCCTATCACTAGATTGGGAAAGAAGTTACCCGTCCTCACATTTTCTTAACAGAAAATGCGATCGATAAAAAATTATTATTCTTGATCATTATAACGTTTCTTTTTTTACAGGTAATTCTACATGAACTGATTTCTGATGGATAATAAATATTTGCTTATCATGAACTAACTTTAAGATGGATTCTTGAATTTTTAGTAAGAAACTGTGACTAGCGGGTTTGAATCATGTAGGATGTAAGCCAGTTTCTCATCGATGTCATCATATGATCATTGCATTTCATTATAAATTGATTTCACTTGGAAAAATTGACTTTTGGACATTAACTTAGTAGTACGAAGGCATGACGCGCACCGTGAGATTTGAAGGTACTAGGCTCAATCTCTGATGGTGTGTTAGGTGAATATTACTTAGAAATTTTGAAATAGAACGAATCATCTGTTCGAAGCTTCATCACCATCAGTAATTCTCTGATCAATATCATTTTGTAATGGAAAACCCGCTTATAGAGTGAACTAACCGCAACATGTATAACTACTTTGGTCCAAAATGAGTTTGGAAATTAAACAAAAATAAAATTATGAGGAAGTTCCATGTACCACTTAATCTGTATTTTTATCCTTAATTTAATATCTTTCTACATTAAATTTATGTAGGTAAACAAATAATAATAAATGAATAGATTTTATCAATGGAGTCACTACTCTTAAATGATGATGGAGGTGATAATAATAATAATAATAATAATAATAATAATAATAATAATAATAAGCAGAAGACAGAAAAGAATATAGTAAGGAAAAATTGATTAAAAGGGATTACATTTCTTTATTTAATTATAAAGATGAATACAATAGAGAAATACTAAGCCCCCACCTATATTCCCACTTTGTATTTGAGCGCAAACATTCACGTACATACATATAAGTTTGTATATGCTCAAGTCATACTTATTAAAAAATGTCTTTAAACTGACTATAATATTGTTTTTATTTCTGTTAGATTTTCATATAATTCTATTACATTTTCTGCATGAAATACACAAGTGTATTGTAAATGTAATGGAACAAAGACTACTACTAATACTATAGTGAACAGAAACTCAGGTCGGGAAGACCAATTTGTTGTTGATGCATAATCACATGGTGGTTTAGTAAAATGTGAAAATCATTCATCGAATACATCATTTGTAAATCTTCTCTGAATTGTCTCTTACGAGCTTCGTTGTTCCTTCGTCCCTGTTTTTATCTTGATCGCTTTCAGTTCCTTTGTTTCTTATTTTCATTTTAATCTTCTTGACCTTCTGCTCACAGGCATTCCACTTCCGACTGGTATTACATACTACTTATATTTGCAAACACAAGCTGTATACTACTACTATTAGCGTAAATGACTTTGTTCAACATCACAGGAACACTATGAGAGATTCCATTATTTTGTTGAACATGTATCCTATATGCATACTAAGGATTTGTATAATTTGACTGTTTGTTGACATTATTTAGACAAGTTGTCCAAACACAAATCCTATAAAACTTTTCTTTATTATTACTGTTCTTTCAATACATTGGTGTAAACCTACACACACCCAAAATATGCACGTATATGCAAAATCAGAAAATCCATTTTAAATCAAAGAAAAAGTTTTATCATTTCAAGTGGGCACTGATACGTGTACACGAGCTTACATACATGCACACAAGCGAACAAGCAACTAAATGCACAGAGAGGAATTAAAATGTTTATCGGTTTATTTTCTGTAGAAAATAAATGAGAATATCAACCATGTAGAGATGTATATTGATAATCTCTGCTGTGATTTATCTATACAGCCGAAACATCAATTATCATAAATTTTAATGGAAAATCACTCAAAACTATCATCATTCCCTAACCATTCTCCCAGACTATACGATTTTCACTTAGTTAGAAGTTATTATGTTGTAAACTACACATTTTTTCTCAGAAAATATATTAATAGTTTAATCGGTTTGACCAACAGATTACTGAGTTAATTGATCTTAGTTGCTATGATCATTTTTGTCGATAAATTTGACTTCTGTCAAATCAATGCTAAAAATAGTTCTTCCCCATAAAACATATGATTTCTGTCAACGTCTACAAACATAATCTGAATAAAGTGCTCGGATTGTGATAATTTTATTTGACTAGACAAATAATCTCGACTGTAGTTAAATGTCTCAAACACACACACATTAGTATTGAATCCTGAAATGGCTTGAATAATAAATTCAATAGTTTATTAACTATACTGTTCATGTGTTGAGATCAAAAGTTTGTTTTTAGTAGGATCTAAGAAAGAAACACACAAAAAACAAGTAAACAAACGACTTTTTAAAATCTAACATAGTACTGACAATTATTTACTTCGCATATTTTCTAAAAGTTACGATTTTTATATCCAATCTCCAATAGCAATCAATGTAAACTGCACAGAAACTAAAGTAAGACAATAAATAAATAAATAAATAAATAAATAATTATAAT